TGGTGCATGAGTATTTTCTGGAAGAAAAAAGTAAAAAAGACATCTTTTTTTTCAAGTACATTGTCATTTCATTATCATCATTACTATATCTTAGTTATAATAAACTAAGGTGTTTGCAGAAACAGTGCTAGGACAAAAGTAGCATAAAATGAATTACTAAGTCTGAGCAGTCAAGGACAGCTTTTAAAATTATTTTTCTTTAAAAAAAAAAGGCAAAATTTACAGGTACTTTGCACAAAACCACCAGAAATTACTGTATAGGCTGGGTTAATCCCCTATTAGATAATATGGGCTGGTTTAATCCCTATTAAGTTAGTAGTAGTAGTAGTAGTAGTAGTAGTAGTACGGTATTTCTTATCTGCCTCTCCCCATGGATCAAGGTGGGAAACAACAACAAATAACAAACAACATCAGTTAAAACACTTCAGTCAAAACACACATCAATTTAAAAAGACAAAATCTACACGTATTAAAACAATCCACATCTAAAATTCAATATATTTAATGTTTCATACATCTCCACATTTTATACAGACATATGAGAAAGTTTTTAAGATAGAGTCTTGGGTTTTCCAATGCAAGTCAATGGAGGAGGACTGGCAATCCAGATTCCCAAAGCTTTATTCAGATTCAGGGTCTGGATCAGAACAGATTGGGCTAAAATCAATTCTGTCTGAATCATGCTATGAACCAAATTGGCATTCATGCGCAAAGGCCTAATAGTTACCCAATATGTATATGTAAGTAATACTTATAACCTAAAGATCTCAGAGCAAGAGGGCAGATTATCTGAAATGGATAATGACATTACAGTATGGACAGCTTTTCCACAATGTGCATCAGTCAGACCTGCACTTTGATGTAAATTACTGAACTATATTCACTTCCTCTTGTTCACCCTGTTATTACAAAATGTATCATGCATAATACTTTCTGTTTAAAAAGAGGTGCTAAATGCAAAAAGACATTTACCGGTCTGAGTGGCATTGACAACTTTGACCTGTCCAGTGCTGAAACTGTGTCAGAGCTCATTAACCAAAGCATTAAAATGACATTAACAAGTGGAAAAATAGACTCCTGGATTTTCTCAGCAACTGACCATTCTATTAAGGTATGTCTGTATTATTCAAGAAGAACAGTACTTCTGAGCTTAATGGTTTTTACTGAAGGCTTGGGTAAATCACATACTCTCAGCCTCAGGGGAAGGCAATGGCTTCTGAACAAATCAAGCCAAGAAAACCCCATGATAGGTTTGCCTTAGGGTCTCCGTAAGTCAGAAATGACTTGAAGGTGCACAACAACAACTATAAAATAGTTTCATAAAGGCTCTGTGCACCTAATAGTATACTTAGGGCTAGAAACATAATAGACTGCAGGAGTCAATGGAAGTGGCAATACTCTTTTATCTTGAGAACTTCTTGTGTGCTGACTTGGGAGAAAAACACAATATACCAATATGTACTAACTTGTTTGTTAAGCAACAGCTGATCTTGGTAGCTTCCCTAAAATGCATTTTCTGGCACTGGAAAGATAAACCTCTCCTGGTAATAGTGCACTGGACAGAATCTGTCTATATATTGATCCTATCCTTTTATTCAGACATGCAAAATTCTACAGAAACCCGTTCCTTGATGAGTATTTGGATAACTGGTCTGTACATACTGATAAGTATGTTTAGAGAGGCCTCATCTTTGAGTATCATGTCTACTAAATTATCTTTTCAGTTTTTCAGTATAGTCATTATCATCATCATCATCATCACTGTCATCATGTATTGTTTGTTCCAACAATATGTTTATACTTTATTTTAATCCTCTACCTGTCTCCCCTTATCTGCTTTTTGGTTAGAGGGGAGATCAGTAACAGTAAAAGTACAGTCAGAACCCTATATCCATGGATTCCTTATCCATGGATTCAACCATCCACAGTTTCAAAGATTTAAATATATATATAAATTCCAAAAGGCAACCCTTGATTTTGCCATTTTATATAAGGCGCACCATTTTACTATGGGGAACAATTAATAAAGATTTGGACAGCAGCTTGCTATAGACTTTCTGCTACACCATGTACAGGAGAAACACTTACTTATTTTGGAAATTTTGCCAAGCAGGCTGTGGTTAAATTATAAAATATTTGATACTTTGGTCCAAAAATGCCTTGCCACTAAAGATATTAGTGTTTTGTCTCTGTGACAAATTCTGTCTCTCTGTCAGCAGAGATCTGAGTCAGCCAGTCTATTATTATTATTATTATTATTATTATTATTATTAATCCGCCTCTCCCCATAGATTAAGGCAGAGAACAACAACAATAAACAGATGAACAACATCAGTTAAAAGACATCAGTTAAAATGCACATCAATTTAAAATGACAAATAAGTATATACACATATTAAAAAGATCCACATTTAAAATTCATCACTTTAACTGACTTGGCTACAACTTACAAAATCCTAGTGTTTGCATTTTACTGAAGGACTAGAGCTCCCTGACAGCGAATGTGACACATATCACAAAACTACAAATCCCAGGGTTTCATATGATGGCATCATGGAAGTTTAAAAAGTGCTACAAGTGTTTAGTGTGAAAGAGAGTATGAGAGTTGTTCTTTTTCTTAGGTTGGGTCTACACTGGCCAGAATACTCAGGGCTCAGGGTGACTAGATGTTCTCCTTTTCCAGTCCTCCATTTCCAATGTCTTCCATTTCAGCCATCTGTCCAGGAGGAATTGCAAAATGTTCTCCATTTTTGGCATGGCTAAGAAGCATGAATTTAATTATTTATTTTTATTTTTTATTATACAATTTTATTTTACTTAAACATAAACAAATATACAAACACAACATCAAACAGACCATTACTAACCTTTTACAATAACAAACGAACAAAAACTAAACATATATTCCAAAATGACTTCTTTGCCTCTATTTCTTAAAAATTCCTTTTTAATCTTAGTCTTTCCATTTAGCATAATACCATACTATTTTCCTTTTTCTTATAAAATTACATATATATTTTACTTTACTCATGATTTACTTATGGTACACCATTTCAATAAAACTCATCCATCTTAATCAATCATAGCATAAACGCTTTTCTCACTCCACAACATGAATTTTTTGAGCTTTAATATCTTCTAATGGCCTCAATTTCTCTTGAATGCCCTACATTTTGCAGTGGCTTGTTTTCCTTTGCAGTTATAGTGGGCCCTTGGTATCCGCTGGCCACTCTGTGGATAACAAAATCCATGGATGCTCAAGTCCCATTAAATACAATGGCATAGTGAAATGATGTCCTTATATAAAATGAGAAAATGAAGGTTTGCTTTTTGCAATTTGTATATATTTGGAATATTTTCAATCCATGGATACTTGAATCCATGGATAAAGAATCTGTGGATATGGAGGGCTGACGGTCTGATAACTGTTCTCCCCTGCCATTACTTATGCATTTTCGAGTGACACCAAATGGTTGTTTACACAAAGGCCTGCTGTGCCACCTGGCACTACTGCCACTGGCGTGAGTCACTATGTCACAACAAGGGACCCATCCATGTGATGGGTGCTTCACTGAGTGATCTCATTACTCTCAGAGATCAAAAGTGAGGCACCCAGTGAAGCAACCATCACACATCTGGGTGCCTCATTGTGACATCAGTGGGAGCGACCTGTGGGCGCAACCCCACACCAGCTGCAGTGGCATCCGGCAGCACAGTGGCACATGTGTATAAACAGCCACATGGCATCACTCTGGAATGCTCCAGATTTTCCTGGAAAATCCAGAGCAAAAGGTAAGCTATTTTAAACCGGTGTAAGGCAGGGGTGGACCGAATCCGATGCAAAACTGGCCTCACATTGTGATTCTAAAATTGGGATTACATTGACATGTTTTACCTCAACGCCACCTAAAGCTGATGCAAAAACATGAAGACTTCTTGAGATATTCAGTATCCTCTGCCTAACAAAGGGGCCGGTGGCCTCACAAAGGAGGAGACATACTGGGTTGCAAAAGAAGTATCTCTTTGTATTGCAAATGGATGCTAAATTTCCTGGACTTTGAGAATCTCCCAGTTGCCACAGGGCCAGAAGGAGGAGGTGCCAGCCTTCAAAAGATACCCCTCCATACCAACTGAACTGAGAACAAATACAGCAAACTGCAGGCCTATAACTAACATCTTCCATTTTTTTTCTCCTGTATGGTTTTTAGCACCTTGCCTGATGAAGCCAGTGGAGCTTCAAAAGCTTGCAACATGTATATTGTGCATTTTGGTTGGCCCAATAAAGGGATCACTGTTTGGTGGATTTTTGATGTTATTGGGTTTGCTATATGGCCAACAGGGCTACCCCTGAATGTTCTCACATTGTGAAGATACTCATTAGCTTACAGATGTAAACTGCTTAGAGACTGCATGGCACGGTATGAAGCGGTATATAAATGAAGTTGCTGTACTTGGCAGTCAAATCAGGATTTTGGCCCTGAAACATGAAGACAGGTTGTGGTGAGGGCAAGTGCAGAGGAAATGGTTCATTTCGCCCTTGTAGATATGCCCTTAGTCAGCTGAAGAGATAAGATTTCATTGTCCCTTCTGTTTGAAATTATCTCTATTTTTTTATCTCTGTTGTTGTTGTTGTTGTTGTTGTTGTGTGCCTTCAAGTCATTTCCAACTTATGGTGACTCTAAGGAAAACCTATCACAGGGTTTTCTTGGCAAGTTTCTTCAGCGGAGTTTTGCTGTTGCCATCCTCTGAGGCTGAGAGAGTGTGACTTGCCCAAGGTCACCCAATGGGTTTAAAAGCAGCTTCATTTATATACCGCTTCATAGCACGCTATGGGATGTCTAAGCAGTTTACAACTGTGAGCTGACTGCCCCCCAACAATCTGGGTACTCATTTTAGCAACCTCGGAAGGATGCAGGCCTGGCTGGTACTGAACTCGCAACCTTGTGGTTTATGAGTGAGTGGCTGCAATACAGGCATTTAACCACTGCGCCACCAGGGCTGGCCAGGCCAGGATTTGAACCCTGATTTCTAGAATCATAGTCCAATGCTCAAACCACTACACCATCCTGGTTACTATTTTTATCTCTACTAAAAATTATTTTCATCTTTATTCTGGTTTGTTTTATTTTTTTACTTACTAGTGAAATGCTGATTTCCAACTAGCACTGCATTTTTATAGGGTAGATTAATCAACTAAAGCTTTTGGTGATTAATTCATGCAAAGACAATTTTAACCTCAAATCAAAGCAGATTTTAAATTGGGGGAGCTGATAGCTAAGGGCATCTCTGTTTTAAGGTTATTGTGGCTTTGCATGTATTACTGTGCTGAAAAATGAAAAAACAAAACAAAACAATGGTCTTTCCTTATAAGAATGAGTAGCTTTGTTTATTAAATTGTACATTATCTCATCTTTCCTCCAGCAGGTCAAAAATAATCTATACTCGAAGCCTTCATAGTGTACAAATGTATCAAGTATAATTATTAATCAATTGGTTGAAAACATGATTAATGAACTACAGTTGTTTAATTGGTTTGTAGACATACTCTAACATTTTAAATATCTCTATACTATCAATGAGAACCAGTATGGTGTAGTGCAGGGGTAGGCAACCTAAGGCCCAGGGGCCGGATGC